CGAATCTTAGGAATGAATTCAGCTCTATATTTGTCCTTCATTCATTCTAAGTGTCAGAATTCTAAGAATCATTTTATACAACGACAGCACCATTTGTTTTCCATCACCAAGTGCTCAAAAGAAATAAATTAGATTTTTATAGATTTTTCCATCTCATAATCTTTTTTTTAGATTTATAATGCTAAAATAGTATTGAGTGAAAGAATCTATTACAATACCAGGGAGTATGTAATATAAGTAACGTTTGAGACAATACATTCATAAAACCAATAAAAATTTTTGAGGGAGTACAAACCATTAATTTCCCTAGCCTAGTTGAGAAACCACTTTGTCCAACTCAGGAAACCACACTATCAGGCAGGCTGAACCTGTGGGCCTTGGCAAACCAGTTGAGCCAGATATGCAATCCCACACTTGAGTTCCTTTGGTTTTTGCCATGTACAGTTGTTAGAGTTCATTTTGGAAGAATGACGGTTCAGCCCACGGTCAGAATTTTTATGTCCAAAGTACAGTTGGGTTGGGTATCAGTTCAGAATTGATGCCAATTTACGAGCAGGTATTGGTGTATAGAATGAAGATTTTTGACATTTTGAATATTTATAACTCTGGAGTGGAAATTAAAAATCTGCATTAGGCCTGTCCATACTTCTTTGGTTCATTTTTGCTATAGGTCTAAATCTGAGAATCGTGACTATAAGTCACTTCATTGTTTTAGCCTTGGGCTACATGTTATCGTAGCAAAAGTGGTTTGTAGTTTTTTTGACAATCCATCCATCCACTATCATGGTTTAAAGTATCGATATGCCTATTAGATGTTTCAATACCATAATATTGTTTTTTTATTCAAAATAGAGGTCTATCATTGACTTGCCAATACGATACGATATGCCCAATACACGATGTACTTCCTATAACTGTTTGATACTTCTAATGGCTTACTTTCTGAAGTTTCATGAATGGAGAGGGGTTCGGAAAGGGGGATTGCATATTTTAGTGTCGATAGATAATCGTTGCACACTCGAATCGCGGCATCATAGATAAGGTGGGTCATCGATGTACCTTTTTAAGTTGGTGATGCTGGAGATAGCCTATAAGGTCGGTGCAAAGTGATTGTTTATTCCACCTCTCACTCCCTAGCCTCATAGAACCCTCCAATTGTTAATGAACAAGTGATTGTTTATTCTTCCTTTAAGGGTTTTGAGACCGGACTCGTGCATGGCTGAGGGCCAATGAATGGGGCCCAGCCAAGTATATGGAGTGCCTTTGGCTTAGTGAGGTAGCATTATTCATTTAGTGTGTTTGTTTGTTGCATTTTGCGTTAAGTGTTGGGCTGATGTCAGCTCTTTAATTTATACAAAGACTCGCTCTTTTGAGGGTCTTTGAGGTTGAGGTTGATGTCAAAGGCCGCTCATTAACAATGGTCGAGGTCCCATAAGCTCATGCCTAAGCTAAAAAAGGCAAATAGTAGGGTTGTTCATAAGAAGGCCCAACCCGACCAAATCGGACCGACCCAACCCGAGTCAGCCAGGTTTTCATTAGCACGGGTCGATTTCGGGTTGTGCAAATTCCTAAACTGATGATTCGGGTCGGTTTCGATTTTCACACAAGAAAACCGAAATCGACCCGAACCGAATCGACTTAGTCAAACATGAAGTTCCAAAGCCCATTAGGCCACCTAGTTTTTGAATGGTTGCAAGAAACTTTGGATTAGTGAATAGTGATTAATGAACAACTTTTGTGATTAACTTTTCATTTAAATTTTATCATAGGAGATGGTTGAAATGATGTTCAATTTATGATTGTTTTTAAAATTAGCAAGATTTTATCATAGGGATGAACTTAGAACCGAACCCGACTCAAACCAACCCAACCCGACCAGGTCGGTTTTGCTTAACACTGGGTCGGTTTTGGTTTCTATGTCAGGTAACCCGACCAGGTCGGGTCGGTTGGAAAAACTGCAGTAAACCGACCCAACCCGACCCGTGAACAGCCTTAGTTTAAATTACTGTCTAGTCATGGTTTAAACATTATGTTGTTCCTTCCTTGACATCACCCTGCAGACTTATGCGTATTCACCATCTTTTCCCATGGTAAAATTGACCATTTGGTAGTTGTACTCTATAGGCCTCAATGGAAAATCAGCAACTCTAATTAGGGGTATTTCTGGATTTCAGATAATACACATTATGTATTTTCAGTTTTCAACTTTTTCATGGTCAGTAATTCATGGAAGTTGCTTTCATGCTCTCATTTGAACTTCAAAGAGCCCATTATTTATATTCCTTTGATCAACAATGTAGTTTTTCTACTTCTGTTTCAAGTCTTTGTTTTCTTGAAAGAAAGCATCAAATTTTGATAAAAGAAAATTTTATTGTAACTTGGAGTTAAATTATATGTTATTTGGGCATGACATTCCGTGAACCTTCTTCCGTTTGGTTTTTCAGTTGGATTTACCTTGATCCTAACTGGGTGGTGATTTTCAGGAAAAACTCAAGGAGAAGAAGCATAAAAAGGAGAAAAAGGACAAAGAAAAGAAAGAAGGAAAGGAGAAGAAGAACAAGGAGAAAAGCAAAGATAAGCATAGGGAGAAGAAAGATCGAAAGGAGAAGCACAAAGATAAGAAGGACAAGGAAAAGGATAAAGATAAACACAAGACCTTCGGTGACAAGAGAAATGAAGGGCGACCTGAGGGGCATAATGCAGAGACACTTGGTCAGAACATTCAGTGTGCTGAGGAGATCAAAGATTCTAAATTTGTGCAGGAGTTGGGCAGGAGGATCAGATATGAAGACAAGGGGACAGGAAACCAAATGGTTGAGAACTTCACAGGTACAGATCATAGGAAAGCTGAGTTTATGTGCAGATTGGTTGAGAAGGGTATGGAAAATAGCGTTCAAGGGAAAGAAAATAATAAGGACAAGAAAAGTGATGATAGAAGGGCAGATGGGCAAAGAAACAAAGATGAGGAAAAAGGCATGGGAAATGCAATGCTTCAGAGCTCCACCAAAATGGACCAAAGAACAGCTGAAAAAACGGCTCGACCAATGGAGAAGGATACTGAGAAGAGGATGGAAGGGAAAGAAAAAAATAAAGACAAGGAAAATAGACGGAAGGATAAACACAAGGAGAAAGATCGAGAGAAGAAAGGCAAAGGAAAGGATAAAAACAGGGATAAAGAAAAGGAGAAAGTGAAGGAGAAAAGCGAGCTTCGAGAGCAGGACAAGTACAGGGAGAGTAGCAAGAAAGACCCTGTAGATACTCCAAATGTCAAAACCTTTCACCTTCCCAAGGACAATGAAAAGAGTGCTGCTACGGATGGAAACCTCAAGAAAAGAAAACGCTTCGAGATGAATGGATTTTTACATGGTGAGTCACTCATCTTTGTGCTGCATTATTGTAGTACTGTAGCATCTCTGTTTCTCTCAAGTTGTTAGAAGCACATCTTGAACTGTGTGCTTTCAACTAGGGATGTAATAGAGGCATTGCAGTACTTGATGGCCTTAAATGGTTTGTTTTGGGGATGCTGACCGATGGTTTTGACTAAACTATTTCCAACTGGTTAGGATCATTTTCTGTTGATAATTCATCGTCTTGTGTGATCAATCAAAAAAAAAAAAATCATTGTCTTGTGTGGGTTTTCCTGTCTTAGCTTCTTATTAGCTGATGCGCAACTTTGTACTGTTTTCTTTTAATTTTCTTTCAGACAATGAAATTCGGCCTAATAAGTTGCCAAGACCCAGCTCTTCCTCTCACCCATTCCCAGAGAATGGAAGGAAATTAGAAACATGCCAGACTGCTATCCAGTTTACTTCAGATAGGCAGGGGGCAGCCAATAACCATAAGGTGGATGATAAGGAACACAAGGTTAATGGTATAATACAAGATCAACCTAGTTCTGCTTTCTCAGCAAAGCTTTCTTTCACCACAGTAAAAGCTAATGGGAATGGTGAAGCATCTACAAAACCGTCACATCCTGATTTCAAGTATCTAAGCCAGATACTGACAGTACCTAAAATGGAGGAATGGTCTGATTTTGATGACCAAGAATGGCTATTCAGCAGTGATAACCTCCGACTGGAGAAGCCCAAGCAGCAATCCTCAGGGGTTGACGAGATAACGCAGGTGTGGGCTGAAGCTTTGCGGATAGAGTCAGCTGATGTTTGTGCACTGCCATATGTCATTCCATACTGATTGATATTCAGTGGAGTTGGTGTTCTCGCCATTTCCATCTCAACACTGCAGGGGCCCGGAAAGACCCTTTTTGAAGGTATGGCAGCTTCTGGGTCTTGAGGTTGTCAGTTTCTCATACTGCATTATCCTGTTGTTAGACTCCCTGTTCTTTCAGGTATAAATTTTGCCGAAATCTGTTGCAGTAATTTATGCTTGTGCCTTCACCTTGCCCTGAAATTGTTTTATATGGAATCAAATGTGTCAGATTACCCATCATTGCTTGCTCCATACGTTGGTGCATCTTTACAGGACTTGGGATTAGAGAGGGTTTTTGGCTTCTCTTTCTGTAAGTAGTAATCAATGAGAGCCATCATAGATGTATCAGGAGAGACATGCCATATACTCCAAATCATATGTCAAGCCAAATAGAAAGGAAGGGAAATGTGGTTTGGAAAGATGGCTTAACTTGTGCAATTATTTTCCATTTGTTTCTTGAAGCTTAAAGGCTCATCTAATTGAGAGAAGCGTGGAGTGGTCTTTGCTACACCACCGCACAATTTTGATTTGTAACATATAAGTCTTATTTACAAGAAATGTACAATAGAGGGAAAAGAGAAAGCAAGAGGTATTCCTATTCATTTATTTCAGCTTGCATAATGTCTTAATCTGGATCTAAACATTAATGCTGGACTGATTAGTAGAATCTTCGTTGAGAACAAGCACAGTATGTGCATTTTATGCATACACTGACTGCATCATCACTACTTAATGTGCAAGAAATCTACTGGGTGGGCCAGAAGATATAATTATCTTTAGCTATTGAAATTACTCTATTATTTGGTCGATGGCATTTGAGCCAAATATCTCTTCGAGTCTAGAGTTAGATGGTCAAATTTCATTTGGTGAATCTTGATTATTGTTCTTCTGGTGAATCCCGGGCAGGATTTCTTCTGGTGGCAAACCCAGGCTATTCTGTTCGAAGTTTACCGGGTTCTATCATCTATGATTTGAGACTTTGAGTACCAATATCATGTACGAGCCTTAAATGTTTTTCCTACTTCGTCCTTCTCTGCTTCCTCTAAGCTGGTCCTAGTGGAAAAGGCCTTAAGAGATGGAGGCGGAGGCGGTTTCCTGTTTGCTTCTGGGAAAACGCAATGGCCGACAGGCCGAGTCCGAGTGGTATCGAAATGGCTGAATTTGTCTGTCCATATAAGTATCAAAATGCCTTCTGCAGTGCTTGCTGGCGTCGGTCCTAGTCCGTCAGATTTTTGGGATACATATGAATGCTGAAATACATGGTTTTAAAAAACGATTCGGAAGCGGAACCGTTCTGGCCACAAGTTTCTGGGTTGATGGTTCGACTGTTCGGTTCAAAATGGATGTTCTATTCTGACAAAAAATAAAAATAAAAAAACTATCAGAAACTGTTGAACGGGGTCGATGGTTTGATCGTTTGGGTCAATGGGTCATTGACTAATTCTATGGTTTTTGGCCAAGGACTAGGTTTGAGATAAAATGGAACCGGTTGCCTGGATGGTTCTCGGGCCGAATGGTCTGACTATCCGAGTCAAYGGTGGTTCGAAAATCATGCTGAAATATATGGGTGACATTTTTCTGTATTAACTGATCATCCTACATTATGACATTGTGGGGGAATGTTTCTCCTATTGCTTTTAGATTCCAATTACAAACCCGTAGCCTTCAAACAAGGCTCTAAATATCTTTATGCCCGATACGTCGGTAGAGGTGTATTGGGCAGTATCAATACTTTTTTTTACTTTTTTTATTTTTTATTTATCAAAACTGATTCAAAGGGGCCGGTTTAAGGCTCCACCCCCTGAACCGGTTAGAACCCCGATACACCCTCTGTAGGGGCGTATCAGGGTGCTCTCGATATGATATGTATTGGTTGATATGGGCCGATACGTGTTGATACTTTGAACCTTGCCTTCAAATACTCAAACCTCGTTAATTTGGCTTAAAATTTTGGGGGAAATTGGTTTTTTTTTTTAAATCAGAGAGTGCTAGATCTACAACAAATAAGGTATGGTTTCTCATAAATTTAGTGGGTGTTCGGTATCGTGGTCAGACCACGATATATTGCGCTTTGAAACACACTACAATCAGTTAAAAGTGTTTGGTTGGCCTGTGGTGTGGGCTGATTCACACTATCTCATAGATCAGTCCACACCACAAGCCAGTTTTGAAATGCACTACAATCAGTTAAGGTATTCAGTTGGTTTGTGGTGTGCCACACCACAAGCCAATTTCTCATCCACATGTTTTTATCTTTATCGTGGATTGATCCATGTTGCTATGGAATTTTGTTACCCAATCTATCCCACATTTTTTATTATGGATATTATTAAAAAATAAAATATTAATTCTTTCTTTTTATATAATATTTAATGTTATGTACATCTTTTAATTAAATGTGTATATTTTATTAGTTATTATTTTTATATAAAATTAGTACTCTTGGAAACCTAATGACTTTTATTTTTTATAAAATAAAATATTTCTTTTTTCTTATTAACTCCTAGAAATCCGAGGCCCATCTGACATCCGATCCGATTATTTCGGATTTAGATGGTGTATTTATGTAATCGGATCAGATTCGGATTTGACTCTATTCGAATTTGATTATATTACAATATTTATTAATTTTAATATATAAATTTTATATAATTATATTTAAAATTATAAAAATATATTCTATATATTATATTATATGTGAATTTATATATATAATAAATTTAGTAGGTTATATTTACATTAATTTATTATATATAAAAGTTGAAAAATAATTAAATTTTTAATTTTTTTTGGTATTTTAAAAAATGCAAAGCAAAGTTGGGTTAAATCCGAACTCGAACAGAGTCTATTAAGATTCAAATTTGAATCCGAGTCTTTAAATCTGATCGGATTYGGATGCACATTTTCAGTAGTTAGATCGGATGCATCTGATCCAATTACAACCTTACATATTATAGGTGAAATGCATGGAATCAAAACACAGGGTGTGGATTGAAATGCAYGACACCTTGTAGAAACCCATGATGTGTAGTGTGGTTCAATCCACACTTCTTTGTCTATGGTTCAGAACAACTACCATGTTGGGGTGTGGTGTGCTTTGGATGAGAACACACCACCCAATTTCGCATCTATGTTATAGAACACCCCCTTAATTTTTATGTAATGTTTCAAGTTGCAGTAGATCTGCATGTTTGGGTGCTTGAAGGATTAAAATATTGGTACTATACAAAGGATTAGAACATTGGGGTACATCATCCATATCAGTGCATGGACAAGACTTTTCATAAGGTTTGAGTTGTTAGAAATATGGACCCAACACTCTAATCATTATAAAATAAAAAGTAAAAAAGGAAATAAAAAAAGTGACCTTCAGTGGTATAGATACCTATGATCCCCAGTTTGGGTGTATCAATATCTTAATCCTTGCCCAAAGTGTATGGATATGTTGATTTGTTGCTGAGGCCATGTTTTGAAACATCAGAGAAAACTGAAAACTGCAGAACAATTTATTCTTCCTGGTATCTGCTTGATTTTGGTGGTAGGAAGGGGTTATATGGTGGACTTATGGACGAACTATGTACCGATCAACAATTTTTTGGTGTTTTATTGAAGTAAAATATTTATTTTAGTAATTAAAATTTATTAGTTTAACTTGTACATGTTTTGTATCTTTGATTTGTCATTTATGGATCTTATAACATTTCCATGGATTTAAATTTAGCTTGTGTTTAAGACTATATTTCTTTTTCTATAATTGCTAATTACTAAATAATTTAAATTTAAAATAAATATATTAATAGTTTACTACTGTATTATTGCTTCATGGTTCTAGGTGTTTTGGATGTCTATAATAATTTATTATCATATTTAGGGCGTTTTATTAAAGCTTTATTTTTTAGTAAATTGAGAGTTGATTATGCTATATTTATATCTCTTATCTTTATTGCAATGGAAAATGTGTTACTTAAAACAAACTGTTAATGCATTTACAACTTAAACTTTTTTAAATCTCCAAATTACCTTTTTCTCCAATGATTTTCTTAAAAAGTGTTGGGGTGTTGGGTTCATTTAGTATTTTTTACCAATTTTATTTGTTATTGGTTTAGTCAATATTAAATTATTAATTATATGTTGTATTTGTTGCAATTCTAGTTTTCATGGATTTTTTTATTTGCTGCAATTTTCGTTTTATAGAAGCTTTTTAAGTGGGTATTTTGGTAAATTAACTTCTATCAGTCAACTTAATGGAGAGGGGGTGTTTGCTAATGAAAAAGACAACATTTTCTATCTAGGGGGTGTTTGCTAGCATGTATTATTTTGATTTCCAAAGCAAACCAATTACCAAATTAGCAAAATCAATACCCTAGTTTTTACTTAGATTGCAACACATTAGTGTTTCCTTTTCTTGCTAGGCAAATGGGCTACTATACAACAGTGGTTAGCTACCAACCCTTGACAATGGTGGGGTTTGATCCTATGTCTCTGCCATTGGTAGGAAAATTTACCAAAAATCCARATGGCACCTTTGATTCGAACACATACGTCAAAATTGAATCTTTCTAGTTTAAGATCAAATGGGTGAATTAGGTTATATAATTTGATGTAAATGGGGTTTCTAGGTCTCTAAACATGATGGTGAGGTCTGATTGGTTAAATAAAGCTTGGATGATGAAGATTTATGATTAATATGCTATAATCAATGAGATTTGCTAATGAAAAATCCAACATTTTCTATCTAGGGGGTGTTTGCTAGCATGTATTATTTTGCTTTCCAAAACAAAAACAACTACCAAATTAGCAAAATCAATACCCTAGTTTTTACTTAGATTGCAACACATTAGTGTTTCCTTTTCTTGCTAGGCCAATGGGCTACTACACAATGGTGGTTAGCTACCAACCCTTGACAATGACAAGGTTTTATCCTATGTCTCCGCCACTGGTAGGAAAATTTACCAAAGATCCAGAGTTTTCGTTTTGAACACATACGTTGAAATTGAATATTTCTAGTTTAATGGTCAAATTGGTGAATTAGGTTATGAAATTTGATATGCATGTGCTTTTTGGGTCTTTGAACATCATGGTGAGGTCGGATTGGTCAAATAAAGCTTCGATGATAAAGATCTACGATTGGTATGTTATAATTAGTGAGATTTATTAAAATTGAACCTTAGCTTGATGATGAGTCAAATGAGGGAATTTTGTGATGAAACTTGGTGGTTATGCATTTTTTGACATCTTAAATTTAATAGAAGAGACGAATAGAAGATCAGAAATGTGGATTGAATGACTAAGTTCAGATCAAGGTTTGAACTTATGGTTTATCAATTAATGAGAATGTTTGAAATGAAATCTTGCTTATTGACATACAGGGGATTTTGGGTCTCTAAATATTATGGTGAGGTATGATTGGTTAAATAAATATTGGATAATGGTTGGTAAGCTCTAATGAATGAAATTTTCTAAAATAGAATTTTGGCTTGGTGGTAAGTCAAACGAGGGAATTTAGAGTTGAGACTTGGAGTGTAGGCACGTATTAAGGTAAGGAGTCAGGTGTAAGGTTTAGATTGAAGAAAGAATATATTAATCTTGGTTGTTTATCTCTTTTCATTCTAGGTCCTCAAAATGGAAT